AAAATTAGCAGCGTTGGATAAGTGGCTCAGTTCCTATGATGGCAAATAGCAGCAATACAGATTGTATTCAGTATTACTGAAAGCTATTAGGTGTTTTGAATTCATTCCCAACTTATGGCAACTTGCATGCAGTTATCTTGGCAAAAAATTATTTATTTATTTATTTGCTGTATTTGTGTACTGCTCTTCTCAACCCCAAAGGGGACTCAGTGTGGTTCAAAGTGTTGGCAACAAGTCAATGCTATCGGGAAAAACCCCCCAGTATAAAACATCAAAATTGACTCCCTTCCCATAAAACATTATTAAACACACCCCATAAAGTAACATCACATATCACACAAAGACATAGCCGTTGTTCATAAACAGTCCTGGATTGCTGCACTTTCAAGTTTCACTTTAACTTTCAATATTCTTATGATGGGCTGAATGCTTGGTTCCACAGCCAGGTCTTGAGAATAATGGACTTACCTTTGCTTTCCTCTGAAGCTAAAACGGTATGCTTAAGATTATCCAGTGAATTTTCATGATCAAGCAGGGATTTGAACCTTGATAATCCAGAAAAAACATTTTAGTGCTCAAACTATTGCATTATTGGGTTATAGTTTATGAATAATTTGGAATAGTACGGACCACCTGCAAATTCATATCCATCCTGACTTGCCTGCTTGGAGAACCATTTAGGGTTGGTGGAAGAGAAGTACCAGTGCAGTTTTCACTGTTCTGTACTTTTCCCCACATCTGGGAATGAAATCAACAAACACCTTTTTAAAAATCTGGGCTGTCTCCTAGATCTCTTATGATTTATTGATTTATTGATTTATTTACCGTATTTATATTCTGCCCTTCTCACCCCGCAGGGCACTCAGGGCAGGTTACAATGTACATATAAATGGGAAGCATTCAGTGCCATAGACACGCAACATATATAGACAGACACACAGAGGCTATTTAACATTCTGCCTTCATGAGCGTATTCTGGACTGCAGGGGAGCTGTTGCTTCACTGTCCATTTGTGACACTGTGTATTTCCTCATTCTTTTGCTTGGTCGCTGAAGATTTTATGGTGTTGTAAATTAGTTAAATTTTAGGTACCGCATAAGCGGTACCTAAAATTTCCTACTTGACAGATGCAGCTGTCTTTCAGGCTGCAAAGGTCAACAGCAAGCTACACAAATGGTCAGAAGCTCACTCTGACTCAGGCTGGCTTCAAACTCATAACTTTTCATTCAGTAGTGATCTTAATGCAGCTGACTCCCAGCCAGTTGCGCCACAGTCCCGGTGGCGCAGCTGTTCCTCATTTGGGAACAGATAAGCCTGTCTTCTTCTAATAAATGTATTCTGCCCAATGTCAACCATGTCCCACAAAGTGAAGTTGTGACAAGTAACAAGTTGCATTATACAATAGGAAAAGCAAAACAACTTTGGGTGCTTTAGCAATGGAGAAGACACATTTTTCATGAGCAATGAAGTAACTTGTACTGCATTGGACTGTTTCAAACCACAAAGGTAAACTCAAGATAGAAATGTGTTGTGTTGCTGAAAGTCTTTCTGAAAACTGACAAACTTTGCCCCTGATTATCCCTTCTCCTTCTCGTGGTGTGAGAAAATATATCCAAAAATGTACTTCTGTGCTAGTTGCAATTTCCAGGAGATTCTTCCACAGCCACAAGGGAACAAGATTCCCTCCACTTAGTATCAGAATTAGACAACCAGGAGGAAAATTCCAATACCTTTTGTTATAATTTAAGGAAATAATACGTTTCAAAGAGATCACCTTCTCTGATCTCTTTTTCTCATACCTCTAAAATGCCTCCAGAAAAATGACATATTTTCATAGACATATTTTCTTCCTTTCCATTTGAATTACCCCAAGGATTTGATAGCAGCAAATTCTGATATCCATTGCCAAGACTAGCCACAGCCACTGAAACTGGCAATGTAAAATATGAAATGTACAAGTGTAAGCTGAGATGGTCTCCTTTTTCTCCAATTACTTGTTTCACAGCCTGGTGTGAAAGATTAAAGCAATTACTTTAAGCATGGTTTATAAGGCTAAATATATTAAAAACTTGACAAATTCTTATTTTCAAAAATATCCATATAGATTTGATAATGGGAAGATGCTATTGCGTATGGAATTGGAATTAATTTGGTTTATAATGGATGGATGATCAAATCGCAGGATCATAGATAGCTAGAATGCAAGTGGGGGGAAAGGAGACAAATACCACTGCATTATCCTTTCACTAAAATCATTTGTTTCTATGAGATTTTGACTGCAAGTAGTGCTGAAAGGTTTCAAAGAACTTTGTTATGGTAAAGATTATGAAGTCTTGAGCCAACAATTGGTTGAGGAGGATGAAAAATAAACAGTGGGGCTAGACAAGGAGGATGTAGTACCTTAAAAGTGAATGGCATAATAGAACAACAATGACCATGCCAAGGATTTATAGAAATAATAAAGTATGAAGAGCATATTGATTTTCATAACTAAACATCTCTTCCACTCCAGGCCTCTGTCCTCACAATATATGTATTCTTTAACTGGATGGATAAAATGAGGTTATTTGACACAATATCTATCTATCTATCTATTAGGGCTGGGCGGTTTCGTTTCGTTAATTCATAATTCGTTAATAATTCTTTAATTTTTTCAATTACAAAACGATAACAAACCATTCTGGAGCAATTATTAAAAAAACCGAATTTTCAAAAA